AAAAAAAAAAAAAATACCCATTTAACTTAGAGATAAAGACACGGTTGATGTAATCTAACATCGATCTCCTGGAGGTTTTCTCGTGCGAGACTTCACAATAGTATGTTCCTCTTTCCATTTCCAATCGTAGTTTTTCTGATGCACTTTTCTCTTTTCCATTCTTCCAGCGCGATATCTGGCGGAGAGGAGGGTTGGACTCGATATCAGAAGACGAAGAAGAAGACAACGAGGGAACGGAAACGAACGCTCTTGATGGCGTCTTCAATCACGTGAACCACGCTAATAAATCAAACCATATCTATGGCAACTCGACCCAGTTTAACAGAAGGCCTGGGCACAAGCTGAACCTGTATAGAAAACCTAATCATTTTAAGGCCGCGGAATCGTGGAGTGGACTCAAGAGAAATAATGCAACGGAATGGAGGAACCGAACTAATGACGTTGAAAAACAACCGCTGTGTGTTCTACCTCCGGAAGAAAACACTTCGGTACAGCAATCTCCACGATCATTTATTCGTCAACTTGCAGTCGAGGTAAACGCGGGTTCTAACGATGATGCCCTGGAGTCGTCACCGAAGGAAAAATCTTCTCCAACTGAACCTTTTTCTGATCCAAGCCTGGAGTGGGATCAGGAAAACTTCGCGTTGAAAAACGACTCCAATTCGTTCCATGATGAACCAGACGGTGAAAGTTTTGAAATGAAAAACATGAATGTCGGCATTGGAGTATCTGTGATGGATGACATTGCGGAGGAAAGAGAACACGACGAGGGAGACAAGCTCCTCACAAATCACGAGTCCTCGGAGGATGAATCTACGGATAACAATTCGCAAACTAGGGACTCGCCAGAGCTGGCAAAGAGATGCAGCAGTGATTTTTCCAAGCATCTTTACTTAGGGTGCGACGAAAATGATGTAGATAGCCCGGTTTCCTACGCGAATGGAGATCTCGGTGCTATCCCTGAGACAGAAAACATAGACTATTCGGCGGCTGGGACAGAAACGGAGGACGCTTCACGAAGTTTATATGACAACGTTGGAGACACATCAAGAGATTTACATGATGATGTTGACGACACTTTAAAGGGTTTGTATAACGGTGGCACTCTCGGGAGTTTATATGGCGACGACATTGAAGACACTCTGAGAGGTTTATATGACGACGATGTTGAGAGTATTGGATACACCGATTTTGATACCATGGTTAAAGGGACCAGAGCTCCTCGTTTCGTCTCGTCTCCAACTCACAGTAGCTTAAACAAAAGTCCCATCCAGAGCATTCCTACGTCACCCATAGAAAGCACACACGGAAGCTGTAGAAGTGGTTTTTCAGAGCTTCCATTCAGAGGGAGCTTTACGGATAGTTTCAAACTTAGCGGACCTACCACTCCATATGGAAGTCCCCAAGGAATTCCTCCATCTTCTAATTTCGGAAACCCCAGGGACTACCGACAAAATTCCGCAGGAAGTTCCAAAAAGTCCGGTCGGTTGCTTAGCCTTGAAAAGCCTGATAGTCCACGAAATAAATTTGGGGGCATCTTTTCCGAGATGAGGGCCCAAAGTCCCTCTCCTGGGAGTCTCAAAGAGGGACTCTCTCGGGAAGGGCGCGCACGAAAAGGGGGTTTAAGACGTACTTTAACTGAGTTCAATTCGCCTACTAACTCTTGCGGCTCTTTAAACGACAAACCAGTAGCATCCTCCCGGAGGAGGAAGGTTTCCGGGGCTATACAACCTCCCACGATATTTGCACCACTTGTCGCGAACGTGAACAATCCTTATAAGGATTTCGTTCCTCCTGTGCGCGAGTCCCCGATCACGTGTGACTGTGAGCCAGAGGACGAGATACCGCGCGAGGGTCTGGGACTGATTTCAAACGATGGGAATGAATGTGACATTTGTTACGAAAGGGGAAGCCAAAGTTTTAAATCAGAAAATTCGGAGTATAAAAAAGAGGATTTCTACAAAAACGCGCAAGATTTTATCACTGACAAACAACTCCGTTGTTTGAGTGGTAGAAGCAGTGCAGAACAGTTCGCCAAAAATGATGTATTCTCTTCACGAACGACTTTAACATCTGAGACTTCGTTTGACAAGTGGGAACCGCGCAGCGATCCTTCTCAGAAAATTGACGATTCATCATTTGAGTGTAACTCCGTTAAAGAGCTCACCGACTGCTTCGAGCGTCCGCGGTCATCATACTCAAATCTTCACCAGCGACCCAGCCTTTCTGGGGCTTATTCGACGCAATGCATTGAACAGGAAGAAATCCCAGAGAGCGACGAGCTGTTTCGTCCAATGCGATCTAGTTTCTCAGAGCCTCACCTGAGTGTAAGAATTCCCGCGCTCGATGGAATCGCAGAGCACAGATTGTCCGAAGAAGAAGTGGAACAAGCCAGTTTAGTCAGCCAGGACACAACGACTCGAGATCTCGAGGATATCTTCAAAGATGTCTCCAGCACCAAACAAGCCATAGAAAAATTAGGACTGATTTTGAGTTCACCAGAGCCAGATATCTATACAGATCTCGCGGACACGAAAGAGACAGTTCAAAAACTAGATCAACAGGTTTTAAACCTGAATAAAGACGTTGCGTCACTAAGCACTGACGTTAAGACTGTTTTGGAGTTGTTGAAAAGTCTGAAAAATGGTCAAGTGGTTGTATAATCAAATCAAACTGGAATTGAAAAAGTACCAGCAGATTTCACATGGAAAAACTTTGGTAACGAAGGCCAAAAAAAGTCTACATTATAATGCATAAACGCTGTCGCTACAAAGTGTACGTACATGTAGTAGTTATAGTTATGAAGATCTAGTTATAGATATTAAAAACGTAATCCTATGGTAGAGCATGATGCAAAACAAGGGAATAAGTTTTGGCAAGAGAGGATAAAGAGTACAAGAGCTAAATCTCGTATACAGGCCTCAGTCTCAAGGTAATGCCTCTGAAGCTATTTTAAGGCATGGTACCCAGTTCTTAATCAGATAACATTAGGGAGTTTAGGAAAACCGCGACGGCAACGGCAACGGGAACGTCGCTAAACAAAAGGTTTAATGAGCAGAACAATGGCTTTGCACGTGCGTTATAATTCTTAGTACATTTCTTTGTCGTCCTCTGCAAAACAACAACATGAAAAGACCAAATTCTGTTTTCTGGAGAACGTGAACCCCCACGACTTATATTTTAAAACCTTTATTTCAACTTGATCGCTATGTCCCAGATTCAGTTTCGTGATAGTTTTGACAGTGATAAATAAATGAGTTTAAAGCTCGAGTACTGCGAGATTCCCAGGAAAAATAAAAAATAATTTTAGTAAATGGTTTGAACCCTGGAGTGTCAGTAGCTCGTATGGTGTGATCGTCCGGGTGAGGTTAGTTCTGAAAAGAACTGTTGATGGTGACTGACGTTTCGACAACCTGAGCGGAAGTCATCTTCAGAGTGAAGTGAATAGTGTTTGTCAGTCGATGATGTTATAAGTCTGGTCCTTTGAACGTGATTGGTCAGTTTAGCCATGATGGTATTGGCTGAAAGACTCGTGTAAAGTCTGCCATCAGTCATTGGTCGGTTTCGATCCGTCTATTCTTAGTCAAATTGGTCGGTTTTTGGTCCGTCTACTATTAGTCAAATTAACTCGGTCTGTTAGAAGTCCGTTTGTCGGTTTCGTTTCCGTCATGAATAAGTTGTTTGTCGGAGTCGCCGACGTGGTTGCTTAAACTCCCTATTTGCGCGAGCTAGACACGCGACAGGATTGGCTAATTCTATAACCACCTGTGAATTCTGTAACAGTGAGTGATCTAAAGATTACTCAATGGGGACTTAACCTTGGGAAAAAGGCCTTAAGGGATCAATTCAATTTTTATAGACTGATTGGTCTTGTGTGTGGCTTCAGTCTACACAAAAACTTTCAAAGACTGTGTTCATACTTGGTGTGAGTACTTGGAGAAAAGTTGTGTTCACATTAGTACACAGGGAGAATTGTACTCTGGCACAATGCTTAGACATCACGTTGAATTAAGTGTGAACATAGACTAAGTTATCCAAACTTGAGAGCTCCTGTTTGCACCAGGCTAGCAAATATAAAGCAGTTGTTTGCTATTTATAAAAAAGCTGAAAATAATTATTGTAAAAATGATGTACAAAAAAGGTTCGTGATTACCATGACGCCATTTTCATGATGTCAGGACAATTTTGATGCAAATCCTCACTTTTTATCTGAATCAGGGGGCACAGAAATAGTCGTTATTTTATAAATATGTGTATTTTTCCATAAATTATGATAGAAAATACTGTATCAGTATAGAACATAAAGAGATTATATTTTCTGTGAATAGTGAGAATGTAAATAAATAAGTAAAGTTATACGATCCATGGCTTCAGAACATAGTTTTTACAAATTTTACTTAGAGGTTAAGTGAGATTTCCTATTTTCTTGAACAGAAACAAGAACGAACATTTTAGAAATAACTAGCCTTTTCTCACCCTCGCGGAGAGCCTGTTCACAGGCTAAGATATAACCAATCTCGTGATGCGATGTGGATAGCCAATGGGGACTTACACACTTTTATCTTCCGCCGCGAACCATTCGCGCAAAGCCCGTTGTGACATCACCCACGGGAGAAGTGGGTACCATGTCTAAAATTAGTCTGAGTGGGATAACCTTTAAAAGAAATAAAACCAACACGGTAGATAAACTCTCTTAGCCTTCTTCTTCTCTTGATAAAAATAAATCATCACTAGAGTAGACACCTTCCATAGAAAGCACTTCTCAAACAATGTAACCCTAGGGGTGACTATCCCCATATCAATTCTCATAACTGCTTATAGTCCATGATCTTGATACGAATCGCCAAAACCTACCATAATCGTAACTCCTTCTTAAACTGAATGACAAGCGTTTCCAGGGTGATGTTTCGTCTTTTATCCTAGTTTTGACCTACAAATTAGGGATAACTCTGGCAGTTGTCAGTTTTAGATTTAAACACACTAATTCATGAATTCAAAGTCCTAAAAGATAACGCAATCACCCATTATCACCCTGTCGACGGTAGAACCTATACATTCATTAAGACAGAAATTTTTAGCTTCTCCAAGGAAGCAAAGCTTCACTTAATTAACTTAAACACTTACTTCTTGCCGGGAATAAGGCCGGAATGTCAGCATGTTTGTAGCGCGAGATACTCAATGCCGTCCGCCATATTGGATTTGAATACCGAGAACACCCTGGGAACGATTTTGTAGAGCCCAGACTTCTCTCTTATATGCTGGTTAGCATTGAACAAGATGGTGGAAAAGTTCGTGTGGTTCAATTCGCGATCGGGTGTAAGTTACGCTAAAAAATAATGGCAAAGAAAGAAAAGAAACGTGTTTCTATATACATCGATGTGAGCAAAGATTTCTTCGAATCCGAAGTAATTCCTAAACGCGAGCCTGCACTTCTGCGAGGACTAGAAATTGGAAGGGCTCGGGAAAAATGGACTCCAGAGTATTTGGCAGAGAATGGTGGCGAAAGAACAGTAAAAATCCACGTTTGTCCAACTGGAAAGATGGATTTTATCCACAAAAACTTTGCTTACAAGTAAGGCTTGCAAGTTGAATTACAAAATGTCCCTGGTTCTACCTAGACAGACAGACAGACACGTACAGACAGAGACAGACAGAGACAGACAGATAGACAGACAGAAAGAAAGACACGCAGACAGACAGACAGACAGACAAAATACCTTTATTCGAGCAAGATCAGACTGCTGGCAGCTGGTCTTTTCTCTTAGGGTCAGATGAGCGACCACATAGGGGCAGTATAGACTAAAAGGGTTTGGGGCAAGACAAGAAAAAAAAAGAGCTTTGACTCTTGAAATTTTCAAACCCTATGTCAGCCCAGTAACGGAGTACCTGATTCGCCAGTTTGTACTCAATGACAAATAGTAGACCGATTGAATAAATAAGGTGTAATCACTTTTCAGGGAAGCATAACAAAGAGCCTATGGCAAAAACTTGATTATCTTTGGAGAAGCTAAATCTGTTGAAAATCAGTTCTTCAAAAGCTGAACTGTAAGAGGCTTTTGAGTTTTGGTTCTCGAGAAGCACTGTGCAATGAGCGCTGCAGCTCAAGAGAGAACTGGCTAATATTGCTAACATATTTGCATCATTTTTGAAATAAATATTTATAATCCAAAAGGATCAGTTGCTGCATGGCACAGTAAACAGTTCAAAAGTGGTAAAAAATAATAACTCAGTGCCAAATTAAAACCAATTTTTTTATAGCAGACATTTCAGTCCTAGCCCTTCCTCAGTGCTAAGGTTAGTTTCGAATGGAACACATCATTCACGTCATTACGTCCTTGTTACCTGCCGAATGAATCATCACATGATCTTAATTAGGTGGCAGCAAGGATGAAAACATGTGAGCTGAATCTGTCTATGTTCCTTTTCAATTAAATCTACATTTTGCTTTTCTTTTCAGAACCCTTCCATTTAACCAATTTGTTAAGCGTGCTAGTGAGGATGTTCATGAAGAATATTTCATTTGCCCAGTAAGTAGAGCATTGCTTAGTTCAAGTTCTGTTTCTGTGTAGTGAATTTATAATTAATGTAAGGATAAATTTTGTTTTGTTATTTAGTAGATGTTAGATATTGATTAAATATAAAGGATTGAGAACCCTAACCCTAAGCAGCGGTGGATCCAGACCTTGAGCTTAGAGAACGGGGGTGGGGAGGCTTTTCTTCCTTCTGCATTTTTTTTTTCTCAAAATAAGGGGGGAGGGCCAGGCCCCCTGGGCCTGTCCCCTAGATCTGCCACTGCTAAGTTATCTAGAAGAAAGAAGTGACAGGATTGATTTTTGATGTTTTTTTTCTCCTGCCTTCTAGGAGGAAAAGTATTACTTGAGATCACTTGGAGATGATCCCAGAAAGGTAATATAAAATGTGCAAAAAGTACACTTACCAGGTATTGTCTCTGTATTATATTATTAACACCCATTTCTTTTGTCAAAGTACTGGTAGATCTTTGAGCTTACTCTGTGATGTTTTGTGTGAAATGGTTTTGACAGGAAGAGAAAGCAGTGTTAAGCTCCTTTTTTCCCAACCTCATTCCCAGGGGAACAGTGCCACCCCATTAAGGGTGGAGGGGGGCTCTTTCCATGGGAAGCTCTTAAAACCACTCCAAATAAAAAGGATGAGGGTGCTTGTCATACCTTTTAGGGGTTAAAATTGCAGTTTTGGTAGCTCTTAGGGTGTTCAGCCTCAAAAGGTCCACAGCGGGAGCTTTTGCGGCACCTTTTAGGGTATTGAGCTGAAAAAAATATGACAGGAGATAATGTGTTGTTTTAGAATTGGTACCTCTTAGGGATGAAAAACATTTCAAGCAACACCCACAAAACAGGATCTTGCTACCTATTAGGGGTTCTTTTCAAAATTTCAGACAAGCGTCCCCGTCCTTTTTATATGGGAGTCCCCCCCCTCCCCTCCCCGGGGGAGAAGCCCTGGGGACATGGTTGCTCTTTTCCCCTTTAGGAGTCATGTTGGTTTGTAAGCAGTTATGAGTAAAAGAAGACTCTTCATAATACCGAGGATTCAAAAAGAGGATAACTTTTTTTTTTTTTTTTTTTTTTTCAGCTTTTCACAGTAGTCTTGTATAAGGGTACTAGTTTTTGTAGCGCAACAACTTTGATTTTTAAGCTGAAGTCGTACCAACTCTAATGCAATTTTAAAGAGAGAGTGCCATTTATTTAATATATTTATGATTTTTTTTTCTTTTTGGCAGGACATCTCAGATATCAATGTGCAGTTCCCTAACTTGGCTCAAGACATTAACATCCCAAAGCTTTACCCTGAAGACAGATTCTTTTCCAGTGTGTTTAGAATCAGTTCACCTCAAGGACAGTTATGGACACATTATGATGTAAGTACTGGCCTGCATCCACTTCATAGTCAGTGTTACTGGTCTCATTGATTCATTGAGAAAATCTCCCAACATCATTCCCCTCATCAGTTTGTAATTTAGGCCCCATTCACATGTATCTGGATATTTTTGAATCCACAACTTTTTTTCCTGATTCAAAAATTTTCCCGTCCACATGTAGGGTATTCAAATCGAATTCGCCTGTCCACACGCATCCGATGGTATCAGGATTCACTCTAGAGAAACTAGGCCTACACGTTGTACTGCCATATTGGTTTATTGTTTGGTAAGAGACTGGACTCGATTTTGCTATGTCATCAGATTCGAAAATATCCGCATTCACCGTCCACATGTTATCGAATTCATTGCAGATTTATTTTTTTCCTCTCTGGAGAGCGGATTAAAAAATATCCGGATTCACTGCCAAATTCGCCAGGTGCATGTGGATGGAGGCTGTATCCGGAAAGAAAAAGTTGCGGATTCAAAAATATCTGGATACGTGTGGATGGGGCCTTAATAACTGAACATCCTACAGGCATCCTGATTGGTCAATACCTAACAGAAATTAAGACAAAATCTGATAGGAAATCGAGCAATTTCAATTTTTAGTGGACAAAAACCATGTACCAGAATAATTTTAAGTATATATGTTACTGTCCTTTTTGCATTTTCTAAAAGCTTAAGATATAAAGAGTTTCCTGAAATAGCATCTAAAACAATTTCCCATGAGAACTTGAAAACTAATAAAATTTCAAAGCTCAGAGAAATGCTGCAAACATGGGTGATATTTTATAATCAGTTTCATTTTACCATTACTTTCAAGTGCTCTATTTGCATTTCAAAATTATTTTGTTTTTGACATTTGGTTTTGTTAGAAATCATTTCTTTCGAGAATATGTTTAAAACAGTCACACAGAAGTTTGTAATACTGTGTAATTTAAATAAACCCTGTACAAAGATTTTGTCGATTTGTTAAGTAACACAAAGATTTCTTGGAGTATTCCGACTTACTCTCCCTGAAATAATTATTTTCTCAGGTTGTATATAAAGCAGGGCTGTCATTTAAGACCGTAACCCAATAACCCTTGTTACTCCTGAGTATTCTTGATTTTCCCTTGATGCTCTGGGTGAAATTGCCTGTTGTTGATAGAATTTACCCACAAAGTGACAAGTTTGCTATGGGTGTGGAGAACAAGGCTAAATATGCAGTCAGGTGATTCAAAACTTAATGACAGTCCTGTATAAAACATTTGTTAGAATGGATCATCCTTGTTCCTGGGAGGAGGACCAAAGCACCATAACCTCCACTGTCTGTGCAAAGTCCAGTGCACAAATTATTTTTCAGTGCACCCCTCCCTTTGCTTAGTTATCTCCTTGAATCATACCATTTTATGTTTCACTTCCATTGAATTGATCTATACCAACATTTAGGTCTTTTACCAAAAAGAGCTTGTAAGCATAATAATTATTATTATTAAAAACTGGATCCTTGGATAATGCAATTCGAGAGTTTTCATTGGCTTGGCCATCATGGGTTTTAAGGCATTATACCACTGCTGTACTAATATGGTAAGCGTGCGCGTGATTCTCTTGGCCGATATTGTTCCTTTTAGTGTAGTATATTACGGGGGCATTTTTAATAAAAACAATTCTTCCACAGTTTGCACTTGTTAGATATGAGATGATTAGAGCGAACTCATATCCAACACGCGTTCGTGGAATAATTGTGACACTGCTGTTGATAAAAAAAAACTATAGTCCAAGAACTTTCCGTATTTCTCAAAACATTTTTTTTTTCTTTTTTTGTAGATTATGGATAACCTTTTGATTCAGGTAACTGGCCAGAAGCGTGTTGTCCTATACAGCCCACAAGATGCCACAAAACTTTATTTAAACGGTGACAAATCGGAAGTGTTGGACATCGATAATCCAGACTTGTCAAGATATCCAAAATTTGCTGAGGCAACACCGTTTGAATGTTTCATGGAACCTGGTGATGTTCTGTTTATCCCTGCCATGTGGTTCCACAATGTGATATCTTTACAGTTCGGGGTAGCAGTCAATGTATTTTGGCGCCATTTGGACCCATGTTACTATGACAACAAGGACACATACGGCAACAAGGATTTGGTGCCTGCCACCAGGGCCATGCAAATAATGGACCGAGCTATCAAGGCCTTGGAGGAACTCCCTGAGGAGTGCAGAGATTTTTATGCGAGAAGAGTAGTTTGTAAAGTTAAAGAAAAATGTTATAGTCGAAAACACATCAACAGTTTTAACGAGGCTAAGAAATCTGAATAAATTAAAGCGACAAATATTCATGTTTGAAAAGTGCACATTTTGTTGTTTGTATATTAAGGAGCTAAGCAGCGAGAACGGTGACGCCGAGGGCGACGCCTACTCAAAAAGGAATTTCTATTTTACCAACGAAATTCGCAATTGTCTAGATCTGTTCAGTACGCCTATTGGTCTAAAAACGTGCTCNTTTTTTTTTTTTTTTTTTTTCAGCTTTTCACAGTAGTCTTGTATAAGGGTACTAGTTTTTGTAGCGCAACAACTTTGATTTTTAAGCTGAAGTCGTACCAACTCTAATGCAATTTTAAAGAGAGAGTGCCATTTATTTAATATATTTATGATTTTTTTTTCTTTTTGGCAGGACATCTCAGATATCAATGTGCAGTTCCCTAACTTGGCTCAAGACATTAACATCCCAAAGCTTTACCCTGAAGACAGATTCTTTTCCAGTGTGTTTAGAATCAGTTCACCTCAAGGACAGTTATGGACACATTATGATGTAAGTACTGGCCTGCATCCACTTCATAGTCAGTGTTACTGGTCTCATTGATTCATTGAGAAAATCTCCCAACATCATTCCCCTCATCAGTTTGTAATTTAGGCCCCATTCACATGTATCTGGATATTTTTGAATCCACAACTTTTTTTCCTGATTCAAAAATTTTCCCGTCCACATGTAGGGTATTCAAATCGAATTCGCCTGTCCACACGCATCCGATGGTATCAGGATTCACTCTAGAGAAACTAGGCCTACACGTTGTACTGCCATATTGGTTTATTGTTTGGTAAGAGACTGGACACGATTTTGCTATGTCATCAGATTCGAAAATATCCGCATTCACCGTCCACATGTTATCGAATTCATTGCAGATTTATTTTTTTCCTCTCTGGAGAGCGGATTAAAAAATATCCGGATTCACTGCCAAATTCGCCAGGTGCATGTGGATGGAGGCTGTATCCGGAAAGAAAAAGTTGCGGATTCAAAAATATCTGGATACGTGTGGATGGGGCCTTAATAACTGAACATCCTACAGGCATCCTGATTGGTCAATACCTAACAGAAATTAAGACAAAATCTGATAGGAAATCGAGCAATTTCAATTTTTAGTGGACAAAAACCATGTACCAGAATAATTTTAAGTATATATGTTACTGTCCTTTTTGCATTTTCTAAAAGCTTAAGATATAAAGAGTTTCCTGAAATAGCATCTAAAACAATTTCCCATGAGAACTTGAAAACTAATAAAATTTCAAAGCTCAGAGAAATGCTGCAAACATGGGTGATATTTTATAATCAGTTTCATTTTACCATTACTTTCAAGTGCTCTATTTGCATTTCAAAATTATTTTGTTTTTGACATTTGGTTTTGTTAGAAATCATTTCTTTCGAGAATATGTTTAAAACAGTCACACAGAAGTTTGTAATACTGTGTAATTTAAATAAACCCTGTACAAAGATTTTGTCGATTTGTTAAGTAACACAAAGATTTCTTGGAGTATTCCGACTTACTCTCCCTGAAATAATTATTTTCTCAGGTTGTATATAAAGCAGGGCTGTCATTTAAGACCGTAACCCAATAACCCTTGTTACTCCTGAGTATTCTTGATTTTCCCTTGATGCTCTGGGTGAAATTGCCTGTTGTTGATAGAATTTACCCACAAAGTGACAAGTTTGCTATGGGTGTGGAGAACAAGGCTAAATATGCAGTCAGGTGATTCAAAACTTAATGACAGTCCTGTATAAAACATTTGTTAGAATGGATCATCCTTGTTCCTGGGAGGAGGACCAAAGCACCATAACCTCCACTGTCTGTGCAAAGTCCAGTGCACAAATTATTTTTCAGTGCACCCCTCCCTTTGCTTAGTTATCTCCTTGAATCATACCATTTTATGTTTCACTTCCATTGAATTGATCTATACCAACATTTAGGTCTTTTACCAAAAAGAGCTTGTAAGCATAATAATTATTATTATTAAAAACTGGATCCTTGGATAATGCAATTCGAGAGTTTTCATTGGCTTGGCCATCATGGGTTTTAAGGCATTATACCACTGCTGTACTAATATGGTAAGCGTGCGCGTGATTCTCTTGGCCGATATTGTTCCTTTTAGTGTAGTATATTACGGGGGCATTTTTAATAAAAACAATTCTTCCACAGTTTGCACTTGTTAGATATGAGATGATTAGAGCGAACTCATATCCAACACGCGTTCGTGGAATAATTGTGACACTGCTGTTGATAAAAAAAAACTATAGTCCAAGAACTTTCCGTATTTCTCAAAACATTTTTTTTTTCTTTTTTTGTAGATTATGGATAACCTTTTGATTCAGGTAACTGGCCAGAAGCGTGTTGTCCTATACAGCCCACAAGATGCCACAAAACTTTATTTAAACGGTGACAAATCGGAAGTGTTGGACATCGATAATCCAGACTTGTCAAGATATCCAAAATTTGCTGAGGCAACACCGTTTGAATGTTTCATGGAACCTGGTGATGTTCTGTTTATCCCTGCCATGTGGTTCCACAATGTGATATCTTTACAGTTCGGGGTAGCAGTCAATGTATTTTGGCGCCATTTGGACCCATGTTACTATGACAACAAGGACACATACGGCAACAAGGATTTGGTGCCTGCCACCAGGGCCATGCAAATAATGGACCGAGCTATCAAGGCCTTGGAGGAACTCCCTGAGGAGTGCAGAGATTTTTATGCGAGAAGAGTAGTTTGTAAAGTTAAAGAAAAATGTTATAGTCGAAAACACATCAACAGTTTTAACGAGGCTAAGAAATCTGAATAAATTAAAGCGACAAATATTCATGTTTGAAAAGTGCACATTTTGTTGTTTGTATATTAAGGAGCTAAGCAGCGAGAACGGTGACGCCGAGGGCGACGCCTACTCAAAAAGGAATTTCTATTTTACCAACGAAATTCGCAATTGTCTAGATCTGTTCAGTACGCCTATTGGTCTAAAAACGTGCTCAGGTTAAATATGCAATGACAGCGTTCAATTCCAAATGGAAATGCGAAAAAAATTAGCCGTTGTCGTTCGCGTTCCTCAGACAACGCAGAACTTTGTCATTTCACGTTGTTAGGGACCTTACGCAGATACGATGGCGACGGCGAGAACGACGGGTATTAAAAAGTGTGTTTATATTTTACTTTGGAATTTCGCATTTATTTAGATCTATTCACTGTGTTTGTCGGTATTAAAACTTGCCCCTGCTGAATATGCTACAAATGCGTTCAGTTCCAAATAGAAATACGAAAAATTAGCCGTAGTGGGTCGTGTTATTGTCAGCAAACTTGGAAATTGGTCATTTCACGTTGTTAACTTGCAGAGGACGGCAAAAAAATCTACCAAGAATTAGAATGTACGTGCACAGCCGTTGTTCTGCTCATTAAACCTTCTGTTTGGGGTCGTTCTAGTTGTCGAAGCCGTCGTGTTTTGCGTAAGGTCCCTGACCGTTGTTTTGCAGAAGACGGCAAAGAGATGTACAGAGATTTATAACGCACGTGCACAGCCAATGTTCAGCTTGTTATACGTCTTGCTCCTTAACGAGCTACATAATCCTCTATCAGAAAAAAGATGGCGACTACCACACTTAAATTCACACGAAAACTTTAACAGCGCTTATAAAAACGTACAGAAAGCTCTAACTTCTTCAAACCTAGCATACGCTATATCGTTGGCACGAGGAACAAATATTGCAAAAACATAGCTTTCCTTGTATGTTATGGCTGTGTAAGGTTCGCATGGTATTGTGATAAAATGTGCAGCCGCCATCTTTTTTCTCCCTTCAGAGGATTGACTGAGCCCGCGACAGTGGTTTTTCTGGTCGGCGTTGTTGCTAAGTGGCATGATGTGAGAGAAATGAAACTCGACAAGTTAATGGATAATGATTGAAAATGGTTATTTGCTCAAAATTGACAATGAAAATAATTTCATAGTTAGTCGTCACTTCCTGATTGTTCCAGATCTACAAAACTCAACGATTATCCTTGGATTTTGTTTGATAGTTTTGGCCCAATTGCAAAGCTCTTTGGTCGATTTACTTATCAAATGTCCGAGTTTGGTTTGAAATTATCATCGGCAAATAGGAATAAGTTGGTTTTCATTCACCACGAAAATAGGCTTGCGGGGGATGGCGGGGAGGGGGGGGTGGGGAGTGTTGGCACTTCCCTGTGCAAGTTAAAGGTATACGCTACGCTGAGTCGTGCCATTTTTATGTCGAAAGTGTCAGTGTGTGACATGGCCTTCTGATCAGAAATTGGAATTTTCTTTTTTCCCAGGAAACCGTGAGAAAGCATTTATACATGATTTCATTTATATCTTAATCAGTCCTCTTTAATAGACCAAGTTTCACCATAAAACAATAGACCTCAATGCGAAGCCCTGGGGAATAAGCCCCACAAACTCGGTAATTATTCCCTAGAGTCTCGTACTGAGGTCTATTGTTTTAGGCTGAAATTTAATATATCGAGATTGGTCTATTTCAAACCGGAAAAGTGCGATTTGAACTCGACAAGGTCTGAAACCTGCTGTCGAAAAACACCGATCAGTTTTGCTCGAAACTACAATCCTGGCCAAAAGGGTTTGGAAAACTTCCCTTTATTCTCGCTTTTTTTAAGTGGAAGCTGCGAGAAACCCGCAATGTACAGTTATAGTAATAGTAGTAATCTTTCCTTCCAAACCCCCTGAACAATGTTGAAGTCCTTTGTTTGTAGCCCAACAAATCTTCGACAACTGGCACCCACATTGTCATGGGGGGATGGGCGTAAAGCGTTTTATAGAAAAATGAGAAAGAGAGTCCCATACGATTTGGCCAGGGTTGTAGCGTCAGGATTTAAAGAGCGTGTCTGCACATCCCTCGGAAAAAAAAATAACCTTAAAGAATTTCAAGTACATTCCCCTCTCCCCTTCTTCCTTGGAGAGGTGATGACATCTCCAGGGCACTCAACAAGGTGAAGACACAGGTGTTTAGATAAATCGACCAACTTGTCAAAGACGTTGAGAGTATTTTAATAATTTCTTTCGGTATATTTGTTTTTCAGAGCACTTAGGGAACTTTTTCATTTTGTCTGTTTGCTCCTTGCTTCATGTTTCGGAAACCCGGAGCCATAAGATAATTGATCAACGTGGTAACCCAGTATTGTTACAGTAATTTGAGGAGGCAGGTTTTCTAGTTAAGTGTACGAACGTTTTTTGTCTTTGTGAAGTCATGAAAGTTCACTGTTTTCAAGGTGAAATCAGTTCTAAACAGTCGTAATTCTTTCCAATTTGCAGATGCAACAATGCTAATTTGTCATCTTCTGAGTTTATATTTGCGCAAACTTTCGGTTTCTCATTTCGTCGGCAATTGTAAAACTATATAGTAAAAAATAACTATGCTTCCGATTTTGAGACAGTGATCTGTTAAACAGAGGTGACACTTTTGAAGTGTCGATTACATTATTCCAATAAAAAAAAATGACATTTCAAGTGAGTACCCACCAAATTAACTTACAGCTTTAATGCAAATATATCGCATTAGTTTGCAGAAAGAAGGAACTCCTTGAGGGCTTTTTCCTATTTTACATCAGCCACTCCACATTTATATTGTTTCCATTATCACAGCCAAGGAATGAAACTTAACGAAAAAGATTGCAGATCTCCTACACTTAAAGCTGTGCGCGAATCAGTTGAGTATATTTTAGTTTTTAAATATACCACTTTTCAGTCGTCTCCGCAAGCTAAGAATATTTATACATTTATTTATCTGCTACACCCAAGACTTCTTTTTCTCTCCTCGACCATATTTCCTAAGGAGTTCTGGATGAAAGGAAGTCATGAATTTGCCTTATGACCTAATCTTCGACCTAGCTGATTTGGAAACCGGAAAACAAGTTTCGCACCATTTCATTTGAATTTCACTCATAATTAAATTTTAACTTATTACACCAAGGCTGTTAAAGCTTGCTTTTTTTGCACAGAATTCTTTGATGTCGATTCTGACGTTTTGGAGTACCTCGAACAATACCATTTTTTTTTTTTTTTTTTTTTTTTTTTTTTTTTTTTTT